TTCGAATTTTGGGTATGATGAGAAAATAGTGCTTGTAGTTGTAGCGGCGATAGCAAACGGACATGCCTACATCAAGGATATCACAAGAGCAGCGTGAAAAATGAAATTACACTATATAAAATCATCAAAAACCATAATATCATCTACGTAATACCGTTATCGATAGCAGCGTAGAAGTGGAATTCTCTTTACAACCTTATCGCTCTCGCAAACAAAACAAACAGAGAACAAATCACAGAAGCCGATGATGCACATTATCACTGAATTCAACTGTATAAAGCCAAAGCACATTACCGCTATTGAAAAAAATTCAAAAAAAAAACTATTTCCAGGAATACGCTTCCAGAGGAAAAACGCTCCGGTTTGGACGCTTCCAGAATATATACTGACTGGAATAAAAAATGCACTGTTTATACGTCACTCTGTCCATATTTACAGCTGCAGGTTAATTTTAATCACCCAAAGGATGACCCGTTGTTGATGACCATCCCTCAAATCACGCCGATTACCCGCAATTTTAATAACTGTGCCGCAAAATCACTTACAAATCGATGATCATCGAAAAAGCTCGCGCTGAACTACTCTTCAAAAGGTCAAATCTCTCGATGAACACTGAAAAGGGACGGGCAGTCTCTCGAGGAACAGTTTTTGAAAAATATTTTTTCAACAAACGTTCAGAAACGAGGCCTTTAGAGATTCGCATTAAATATTGAGTATTTGAGTAAAGAAATTACTATTGATACAATGGCAATTGAAAAGCCAAAGCGCACAAATAAATCCCGCTGAGAGTAAGACAGCTCTAAAAACTGGCAATTTCAGCAAACAGCGATCGATTAAAAACAATAAAAAAACATGCGAAGCAAAGCAAAAAACATTTACAACCGATAAAATGCGCATATTTTTCGCTTTCAAAATTGCAAAAACAACTATAAATTATTTGTCTTTTTTCCCGGACAATAAGAAGATGCAGCAATATCCACCGCTTCATTGCGACAATGAAAATGATCACCATTCGGAACCGATTTTACACTGCTTCAAAAAAACACCCAATTAATGCTTGCTTTTGTAAAAAATTTAAATATCATGTGCTTTTTAAATTTAAATATTAATTTAAATATTAATGCTTTAAATTTAAATATTATGTGCTTTTGACGAGGAAGTCAAAAATCACTTATGTGCTATGTTCTTTTTTTAACATACTCAATAAATCAGGAAAAAAAAAATCATGCAAATGCTGCGTGTTTTTGTGATGGGACATATGTAGAAGTACTTGTTTGTGCTGAAATTCTATTCAACTCCTCATCTTTACAGACTTGCTGTTTTCGAGCCCCGGGGATCACTAATCCTCTTAGGCATATTCGTCACTTCAGAAGTTGCTCGTAACGCAAGCTATACTTCCTGACCTAACAAACAGACGTCATTACCAGTACGCAATCGAAAAAAATGAACTAATTTCACCGACTCCAGTTTTCGAAATAACCGGCTCAAATAACGATATGTTTGCATGGATTTACTCAAAAACCAGCGAAAAATCACTTCATCCCCCATAGGAACACTAATTTTTTGCCCTAATTTTAAAGTACCACATTAATCGTCGGGAAAACCGGAAAAATGTATGTAACAAACCAAGACCATAAGCCACTGAAGCAAACCAAACGCCGATCTTTATGCGTATCTAAAGTAGGTGCACAACGAAAGAGCTGATTTGTTGAGGTGCAACGTAAAAATAGACCTTTTGTCTGTGTTAAATTAATTCTGAGTGCATTAACATACCATTATTATGCATGGAATTTGCATTCACTGGATGAGCGGTGATTTTTATT